TATTAATATACTTAATATTTTTCTATACAAATGAAAAGAAAACAAATTAACTAACTAATAGCACAGAAAAGCAACGCCCATCATATCCCTTTCTAAGAAAATATTTCAATACAGTAGGCGGAGAATTATAGACAACAGTTCCAACCGGCAAGCTGTTCCCAATTTCCAGCTAAGAAATCTGTACCAAAAAAATTCTCCTCACGCGGTGTGTATGTAGAAAAGTAATAAAATCAAACTCATGACGGAGCCTTCTAATGTCTGAATACATTGAATGTTAAAGGCAAAAGGTACCCGTTGCCCCTTAACTTTTTAAATTTGAGGGTTTTTACCCTTTATATCACAATACATAGATTTTTACCTTTCATATTTTTTAGTTTGAGGAAATGAGATAAAATTTAATGCCGGAGTATCACGTGTAGCACATGCACTATTGGCCTCCGTCAAGTATGCACATATCAGCGCCGTCTTAGACTTTTTGACAACTTGACATGCCAACTTGGACCCTCATGAGCGGGACCTGCTACCAATTTTATTTGTGGGTTCCACCACTGACTAAAGGTTAAAAAAAAAAAAAAAGACAAATGAATGCTAGGAAATCGTCCAACTCAAAGTATTGTGATCGAGAACAAAGAAAAGCTTCTATTAACCCCACAACCCAGAAAAGGACCACAGAAGGAAACAACTTTACTCTACCCATCAACCGAACGAATCTCCATTGAAGGAAAAGAATAGAACATTCGAAAGGGACCATAAAAATTTCAAAATGTTCCTAGTTACACTCTTTATTCTTAGTCTCAAGCACTGCGAGTTAAAGGACAGAAAAGAACTCTGGCACCCGTTTAGGATCCCTTGCACGGCCCGCTCCAACACCGGCACCCGCACCAGCATCTACTCCAACTCCGGCTCCCACTGTGGCACCTACTTCTGTTCCCACCCTGGCACCTGCTCCAGCGTCGTTTCCCACTGTGGCACCGACTCCAGCGTCGGTTCCCACCGTCGCACCGGCTCCAACACCGGTTCCCACCTTCGCACCGGTTCCCACCTTCGCACCTGCTCCTGTTGCCACCACGGTACCGACTCCCACCCTGGCACCTGCTCCAATGCTGGCTCCCACCGTGACACCTGCTCCTGTTCCCACCACAGACTGAGAATTGTCTGTGCTTTGTGGTCCCTTCAAATGTTCTATTTTATTCCTTCAATGGAGATTCGTTCGGTCGGTGGGTGGAGTAAGTTGTTTTTTTCTGTGGTCCTTTTTTGGATGTGGGGCTAATAGAAGCTTTTCTTTATTCTCAATCACAATGCTTGGAGTCGGAGGGTTTCCTGGCATTCATTTGTCTTTTTCTTTTTTTTTTTTAAACCTTTAGTTAGTGATAGAGCCCACAAATAAAATTGGTAGCAGGTCTCGCTCATGGGAGTCCAAGTTGGCATGCCAAGTTGTCAAAAAAGTCTGAGGTGACGCTGACATGTGCATACTTGACGGAGGTCAACGGTGCACATGCTACACGTGACGCTCCGACGTTAAATTTTACCTCATTTCCTCGAACACGAAAATATAAAGGGTAAAAATCCATGTATTGTGATATGAAGGGTAAAAACCCTCAAATTCAAAAAGTTAAGGGGCAAACGGGTACGTTTTGCCCATTTGATAAATGTCCCCGACTGTGGAGTCATTTCAACGGATCGTTGTCTAATAATTCGCCGCCACGTTTTTTAGCTGGACATTGCCAGTCCACCTGGGCTGCTACTGTGACCCATTTTTGCCTTTTGAGAAATGTATGGACCCGTAGGGAAAGGTTACCTTTATTAATAAAAATATTAAAATTATTAAAATTATAAAATATTAATTTAAGAAATAAATTGATATTTATTTTAAAAATTTAAGAATTAAATTAGTACTTTTTCAACAATCGTACAGGCTTTTTCAACTTTCCAGTCCAAGCCCAACGGTGAATTGGACCACTTTAAAAGGCCTAACTTTTATTAGCAATGAGCAACATCTAGATACAATAATTTTCGCAATTCCACAGATAGACAGTGCCCTAAATAGCAAACCAATTAAGTAGCTTTGTTAACTATTCCAGGCACACACAAAATCAAACCGTTCAAAAGTTGATAGCAAAGGACACCGTATTGATCCCACAACAGGAGCAATTTGCAAGCTAACTTTTCCTGCTTCAAAAATGACTCTTGAAAAACCATTTGCCATTGCTCTTCCCACTATAAGACAGAGCTAATGTCCCTTCTGCCAGGGCAGATAAGGCTCATTATTGAATGGCTATGCCAATCAATAACCTCTCCTCCAGCATCCCTCATAACCACCGGTAGACCAATCTGCCACTTCTAGAACAATAAGAAGTATCCGTCTTGCATTTACTTGTATGAAGTGGCCA